TAATAAAAATTATAAATTATAATATTATTAGACGATTAAATAATAATTTGACTAATATGTTTTTATTAATTTACTATTAATTGTGCAAATATGTTTAAAATATTGACACTGTAAAATTGAGCGCTGACAGTTATACGTTTTTAAGGTTAAGTAAAAATAATCCAATAATTTCAATGTTTAATCCACGGTTTAAGATATTATATATTATATATTGTTCTGTGGATATACTATATATTTGTATATCTTAAACCGTGGTTAAATCAACAACTGAACAACAATAATATACTATATATTTATTATGTTACTGTTATCACAGAATATAACAATGTTATTTTTGTTATTTTCAATTTTCAATTTTGAAACAACATTTTGTTGTTCCAAATATTTACAAATGGTGTTTTCCAAAGGGAAAGAGGCTTTTAAGACCTCCAAGGAAGAATTGAGAAGATTAGATAATGACATTAAAGGTCCTGTATAAAGAACGAAAAGATTAAAATAATTGTATAMTCGTTTTATACATTAAAAATTCAGCTAAGTCTTACAAAACTTGGCAATTTTTTTTTATTCCTATTAGCCATATTTTCTTTCTTATTTTCTTGGAAGGCAAATTGTCTCATCCGTATTCTAATATAATACATGACTGTATATGCTATCAGTGGCGTGCTGAACAGCTATTTTTTGAGGCAACTGCCTCATAGAAAATACGGGTGGGTGGGTTGTGCAACTGGCCACCTGGGCACTAGTTTGATCGTACATTTTAAATATCATATAAATGTATACAATTTTTTATTAAGTGAAAAACCTGATGGTTATAGGGTGGGTGTCAAATTGTATAGTTTGCCTCAAATCTGAAAAATGTTCTGCACGCCACTGTATGCTATAATTTGTTCATCATGTATTGCACATGGAATACTTAATGGCTTAATTTTCATCAAATCAATTGTTATAAGTTCGAAAACATTTGCTGATGAACTATGTTTAACTATTTAATTATTAATTATTTAACTATTTTTCTTTAGATGTTTGATTCAATTTATTCTATAAATAAAAGTGACACCTAAGGTATGTATTTTTAAATATTTTAAAAGTAGTATCAGTTCACTTTTTGATGTATGGGAATATTAAAATCAGAAGTACTGCTGCCATTTAAAGAAGAATCATTAAAATTAGTAGAATAGTTATGTTCTATCAAAATTCTGGAACTCGGCATAAGATCATTACATGGATGTTCAATATTCATTATTGGTTCACAAATTAATTCCTAAAAGTTTATTGAGAAGATACAATTCAAAAATGAGGCTGAACAAGTTAATGAAAGTACTAATTACTAGTACTAACTATTAATTTCATTATTAAATAAACTTATGTGATCACTGATCACAATATTTTTAATTAATTTTGTATAACTCATTGTCTTGTAAATAGTTAAAAGCTATTTTGTGCATATTTAATTAACTTAGAAAAATTAATAATACATTCAAATATTATATAAAGTACAAATTATAAAATGTATTATTTGTTGTATCATTTGTACACTGAATAAATAACTCAGGTTCCCCGGTACTTATATATTAACTATTTCTTTAAAATCTCAGCTTTATTGATTAATAAATACTAATTATTTAAAAATAAA